TGACAAGGCTGCTCCCAGCACGTTAAAACAGTTCTGAAAGCAATTCTGTGTGTACGCAGCTGCCCGGAGTGCTTCTCGCCTCCAGGTAAAGGGATCACATCAGAGGTCAGCAGCTAGCGTCACTGCAGCCCACCGAGAGCCCAGCAGAGAGAGACGGGGGAAGGAGGGAGGAAGGAGAGAAAAAAAAAAAAAAAGAAAAAAAAAAAGAAAGGAAAACAAGAATACAAATTAGCCCTCTGCCGGAAGAGCCAGTAGGGACAGCTAACTTACTTGATATGCTTGAGTTTTAGGCTTCGAGCAGGACTGTTAGGAGAGGCTGCTTTTCATTTCGGTGTGTGAACAGTCTCCGGTTTCGCTTTGCGGAAGAGCTGGCCCGGCCCCTTGGGCGCGATGACACAGCGGGGCAGCGCAGCGCGGTGAGTGCAGCGCAGTGCAGTGGGCGCAGCGCAGCGCAGGGCAGCGGGCGCAGCGCAGCGCAGTGGGCGCAGCGCAGCGGGCGCAGCGCAGGGCAGTGCAGCGCAGTGGGCACAGCACAGTGCAGTGAGCGCAGGGCAGTGCAGCGCAGTGGGCACAGCACAGTGCAGTGAGCGCAGGGCAGTGCAGTGGGCACAGCACAGTGCAGTGAGCGCAGGGCAGTGGGCGCAGCACAGGGCAGCACAGTGCAGTGAGCGCAGCGCAGGGCAGTGGGCGCAGCGCAGCCCACCTCGCCTTTGCCTGGCAGCCTCAAGGGAACAGCCAACATCAGCTCCTCCGCTAACAGCCTCTGAGGGCAGCCTCTTCCAACTGCCCCAAGGTACTGGGGTGGAACCAAATGGCAAAAAAATCACCCACAAAACACCTACCAGCACCAAGAGTGACCTGCTCTTTTTTTTTTTTTTTTTTTTTTTTTTATACAAGCAATTATCAACACCTCTATAATATATGAAGTTTTTTTTTTAAAGGAAAAATACCCCCTAATAAACCCTTTAATCATTTCATTTTCATACCAGTTTGCATCCCTTCTGTCTCTAGGGGAGAAGAAACAGCTCAATCAGAGAGAGGACATAGCAGCAAAACCAACACCTGCCTGCAGCTGACCCCATTCCAGAGTTTCTCAACTGCAAGGTCACCAATTGGGAGCAGCTGGCAGGGCAAATCAGAGGAAACAGCCCCTCAATTTGCCACAGAGCACCTAGAAACTGAGGATCTTTGTGCCAGCAGGTTCACTCAATCTGCTCAGACCCTGAAACTGAGTTTCTTGCACAGCCCACCTAAGTCTTTTTCAGGATACCTGCAAAACTGAGACAGCCTTTCCCACCCTGCCTACAATTTTGCCGATCAAAGGCAGCAACACCTCTATGCACTTCTGACAGCATTTCAAGCCAGCACCGTGACCTCAGACATTCTCTGTTCAGAAATGCATTCTTTCGCAACAATGTGCCTCTATAAAGATCACAAAATAAATATTGTGACACTTAAGTAGGGAATGCAGCAAAGGAAAAACTCCCAGCAACTGTACTACCAGCAGGAACCACTTTCAAAAACCATCTTGATAATTAAATTGGTGACAGATTTTGCAGTCTGTTGCAGAAGTATTAGTAACTTTGTTCAAAGACATTTAGTAATTGCTCTACTTTCTTCTTGTTTTGTATAATGCACAACAAGAGAACAGATTGAATCTCTCTTTAGAAACAGTGCTAATTGGGATGACATCTAGAAATGATTAACCTTGAGATTCTTAAAGACTTAAGATCAAGAATGCTCCTCAGAAAATGCTTGAGACTAATGAAGTCCAAAATAAAAGTTGTTCTTATAGAATTTCCACTAATGTTGATTTCTTCCAGTACTCCTTTAATAAATTTAGCCATGAGAGTATTATGGACGAAGATACTCACTTCATTAAGCCCATGACAGAAGGAAATTTTTTTCATTAAGAGCAATGCCAAAAATCTGTTACATAAAAAAAATTAATAAAAATTCATTCTGTATCAACATAGTTACCTTATAAGAACACAAAGATCTTAGAAAGATGGTGGATCCAGCTGTTCTCAAAGGTTAGTACCTTCTACTTACTGTTATGATTGAATACTGAGCTATAAATTGTATTTTTTCTGTTGGCTATTAATCTAGCAAAAACAATTCAAAAGATTGTTAAGAGAAAATACCTTGACCCTAGTAAGGTGCTCCTGAACACAAAGGAGATTAACTCAGGCTCCCCTCTTCATTGCTACCTCCTAATAAGGGTAGCAGTGGCCTCCTCCTATGCACACCTAGTGAATGCTTGGCCAAGGCTGCTCATCAGAAACCAGCCTGTGCAAACTAATGCCTATGACCCTAACATTCCTTGAATGCCATTTCACTTCATTTATCTGACTGGGTACTGTATAGGGCACATGCCCCCCTGTGACAGTTTGTTCCAGAACAAGAGCAAAGAGCATCAGAAAGAAGCTGGGAGATCTATTGTAATTAAACATCTTTAAATCAGCCATTTAGATTTCCTTTTTACAGAAACTGGGTGCACCAGGTTTGCCTATTCAACTCTCTGGACGTCCTTACCACGGAGAACACAAAGGCAGTACCAGGAGCAGGCAGACTTGGGAAGCAGCACCTCTTTCTCCTAACACACACAGGCACACAGATCGACACATAAAGTTCCTGCAAGAAGCAAGGGAGCAGAAGCAGCACACGAGTAACAGCTGCCATGGCAGGAACTTAAGAAGGGAACAACAGAGAGCAGGGCTAGACTCGGGACATAAAGAACAGCACTCTGGGAATACTGTAAAACCTAAAGGAAGGCAGGCACTTAAGTGGCAGCTCTTATGAGCATTCACCATTAGGGCATACACTCACAGGAGAATTAAACTGCTTGCTATTTGTCAGGCATTATGCAATTACAAGTAGCCATCACACACTTAAGCCTCTATGGTTTGGGACTCAGAAGCACAAACAACCCAAGCAGGAGGAAGATCATCACTTATTACTTACTAACAGAAGGAAGGGTGAGTTAGACCATAAGTCAGCAAATAAAACCCTGGTTATTTAATTTAGCATAACCACCTTAACCACAGAGCACAAGTAGGTTAAACAAAAAAAAAAAAAAAAAAGATCAAGAGTAGGTTAAAAAAATGACAAGTAGTGGGCATCAAAGCTAGAGTTTGGTTAAGGTATGTTCGTAGGAAGTACTACTGACCAGTGAACAATGTAAGGGGTCCAAGTAAATTTCACACACAAAACACAGGAAAGTTATAGAACAGGAAAAAAAAAAAAAAAAAAAGTCATCCCAATATCATCTAAAGACTGCTGGAATGATGTTGAGTGTATTGAAAATTTTGATTTATTTTTGTTTCAAAAGACAAAAAGCTGGCTTGCCTTCTAAAGAGATATTTCCTTTCAGTTCCCTGTAACATTTTTTTTAATAGATATCTTTTAGAAATACCGAAGGGAGAAAAACAAAGGGCAGCAAAAGAGAGTGCAGCTAGCCAAATGACTTAAAATATGCAGGAGTGACTGAATGGGGAGGGGGATGTGTGTGTGTGTGTGTAAACATTCACACACAGAGCAAAACTAGGGCAATGAACTAATGAATTCCATTCTATTTTAAATAATGCTATTGCATCACAGGAGGCTATTGAAAGAAATAAATTTAAAAAAGAATTTTGCCCAATTGAAGAAAGGTAGTCATGGCCAAGCAGGAAATAAAACTTTTCAAATTAAAATACCTATTAAGAGTCAACATTAGGCAGCATAAGGTAAATACATTTCTAACACATAATCATCACCATTAATTTGGAATGTCACAGAAACTGAAGTAGCATTAAATATTGGAAAAAAATACAGAGACCAGGCTTTCATAACCTAAGACAAAGCAGTTCCTGGTGATGACATTTTTTCTCCACTATATTACCCTCTACTTCTTCTCCTTAATAACATCATTAAAAATATTTCTTGGGTATTTAATATGAAGCAATGCTTACAATGGAAATAAAAAAAAACATAAAGAGAAAGAAATATTTCTTAACAACATAGGCACTAGCTTGCAAATTGTATGGGACCTTTCCAGTGAACTGCACAGCAGGAGATGAATATGCAGAAAGAATATGCACATGGACTGCTGCTTCCAGCTTAACTAAAATCAGAAAGGCACTGACAAATTGAAGAGGACAGAAGAAGAGCAACAAAAATTTTGGATATGTTTAGTGATGGACAAAAGCATTTAAAGAAAAAGACAACAGTTAGTAACTTGGGCTCTTTCCTCATCAAGTAGAAAGGAAAATAATGATCTAGTAGCAAAGAAATATCTTTATTATTTTACAAAAGAATTGATTAAGTGAAAAATTTCAAATACTGGGATATCTCCAAGTACAGAAAATACACAAAATGGTGATTACCAACTACAGCCATCAATTTATGTGTAGTCACCATAATAAAAAAAGGGGGGAAAAAAGTATTTTCAGCTCCTTAGTTCAATGCTTTGCAAGATCTGAACCTGCCCAGATGCTATAATCCCTCCTTCACTTTATAGGAAACCAATGCCAATATAAGAGTCATGTGTGTGTTCTTTACACTAATTCCATGAAAGTCAAAATCAAGTCAGACGCTGTGAAAGAAGGCAAAGTTATGGCTATTTTCATCTCATCAGGTCCTGCTGAATAAACAAGATCCATACATCGGAATACCCAAGGGTAAAGAAAGAACCAGAGCCCTGCAAGTCAAAATAAGATTGCCACTGCTATTTATGGGACTGGAATTTTCTTTAGGTAATTAGAAAGAGGAACAAGAAAAGGAAAAGTGTTATCGAAAGGTTATTTGCCCCTAAAGACAATACTGCCTGACTCCTTCATTACAATTCACAACAGTCTCTAGCAACACTCCCAGTGCTGCTAGAGAGACAGCACTGGGAGACACCAGAGCTCCCTGCAATGCTGGGAGACACAAGCTGCTTTCTAAACCACTGCAGGGGCTGAAGACACATCTTATGTTCCTTGCTTTTCTAAAAAGAAATTTTCTTAATTGTGCATTACCGTGAGGGTAGAAGGTGCTCCACTTGTCTGTGCTTTGGAGGGCTGACTGACACTAGCACTTGCCAATTTCTTCTGCAAAATAAAGAAAGAACAAATGTCAGAAAATCTGATGAAGAAAAGGGAAGTAAATATACAAAACTCAGGGCAAAATGACGACTTTGCTGATTGAATAAATGCACTTGAAGTTGAAACAAAAACATCACATTTCCTTTGAACCTCCAGTTATATAGCGATGCAATTCCATTACTAGCATGTATCCCTGGAATAACTCAGTGGCTGTTGAAATCAGATCTAGCAAAGGCTACAAAAGCAGCTATTATTATTAAACAGAGCAAAAAGCATCAGATTTTTGGAGGCAACAGATAGATGAGACCTATTAATTTTCTCTGCTAAGTGGAAAATTACAGATGAACACTGCCACAATTCTCTGCAAGCAGAGGAAGCCTGCAGAATGATAATTCAGAGATCCAATAAGCATTCAGACTGAGAAGCACCAATTTTCAAGCAATAAGAGACTGCAGAAGACCTGTAGTCTCAGGGCTGTCTTTCATTAAGGTAATTGCCACCTCATGTTCTCTTCCTGCTGTAGCTTTGCAAACAGGAGGGAATCTCTCTTACATAAAGCAAGCTGCACAGTCAAGATCAAAGAGGAACTCCTCTGCAGGGGACTGTGTTCTGTTCCCACCTACGTAAGAATAACATCACAGAAATGTGACCCAGTGTGATGGATTCTGACGCAGCAAGTGTGACATTTACCTCAAAGATCTCACCCTTGAGATTGATCACACTGAGAACAGTGGCATCCAAATAAGATCCTGTGTAATACTGCAAAACTTAAGTGTAACGGGGCATTTCCTTTTGCCCACTATAATCCATCTTTTCCATTCTCTAAAGAAAACGGTGGCCTTCCAGGCCTATGTGACAATGTTCCTAAGGGCAGGTGAAAAAAGCTTTGTGTGTTACAGTTTGGTAAAGCCAGGGGAGATGCAGAACATGTTGGATTTCAGCTCTGATAGTGTGGATTAAACACTCATTACTGAGAACTTTCCACAACACTCCCATTCAACTTCTAAATAAGTTACTAAATTTTTGCATGTACACAAGATTTATTGGCCTTTCCATTTATTGGAAATTTATTGGCCTTTCCATTTTATTGGAAAATTCAAAAGAAAAAAAAAATCCTTAGACCAGCTATTTTAAAAAGACTCAATACTGAGGGTTTAACTTCAGTATATTACCATTATGGTTCTCAATGTTTGTCCCCATGTTGGCTGAAACGACAACCTTTGGTTCACAAGTTGTCAATAATACTAAGATGGTGTTCAAAACTTACTTTTGGCATGTAATATGTTTAACATAAGTAATTTTTATGACACCAGTGAACATATGCCAAGATTTCAGGCACAAGCCTTTTCTTCAGCCTAAAGACAGTAAATGACCTTTGTTTAGAGTGAAATAAAACCATGTTTTAATTTAATTGATTATATAAATCAGTTAAACAACATGGGGGAAAAACTTGACTAATACCATGAAACACAGGAATGCTAGCAAGTGATATAGCTGGGACAGAAAAGAAGGCAAGGGAAAGAGGTGAGAGGGCACAACAGAAAACAAATCATTCTTTCTGGAGTAGAGAAAGGCTCCCTGGAGTTAAATTATGTGGAAAGTTAGACTGCCAAATCAGTATTCTCTCCTGGATATAAAACACGATAGGCCGAACAGAGTTATGTATTTTGCTTGCAGCATCAGTTTTTGAAAGTGACTTCTTTGGTATTTACCCTTTTGCGTTTATAAAAGGAGAAAGACGGCAACGTTATGCTACTAAGTTCATCCTTCTCTTAGACCTGATAAAATAATGTCATTATCTACTTCCCAATATCCTGCCCACAATGCCTCCTCCAGGCAAACTAGTTCTGATGCTCTTCCTCCCCTCCAGCAGAGGAAGGAAGAATTTGGGGGTGGGAGGGCAGTATCAGTCCCAATCAGCTAAAGGGAGAATCATCTTGCAGCTGTATTAGGTTCCTCAGCCTGATAACAGAGTTAATGAATTATTAAAGCACAGCTTCCTTACAAAGTGATTACAAGAAAATGCCTGAATAGAATTGTGTGTGACGCATAGTGCTAATCATCTTATATTTAATAAAGTGGGCATAATACAGGTCCCTTTGATATATTGGCTAGATTTCCCCAGTGAAGAAATGCAATACAGAGCCATGGCCAGAAGATTTGGTCTTCATAATTATTAGACTACATCATTTATGTGTTCATAATGATTTTGCAATGAAAACAAATATAGTTCAGCTGTTTTCCCTTGAGACAAATAAGACCACATGGGGAAAAAATGTCCCATCTCTGTTCTGCAAAGGCTTGCAACAGCCTAAGCAATATTTCAGTCTTCTATTCCCTGTCTTCGAGCAGCAAACAGGCTCTATTTCTGCCTGTGCCCTGGTGGCCACAAGGTCTTACATGGTAACAACTCACAATGAATACGAAAAATTAACCAAAACAATGTTATTTTTAAAGGCGACTCACTGCTCATTGCCAAAGGGGGTAAAAAATAAAAACAGAAGAGAAAATCAGACCAAGAAGCTCTTTCCTCATTGAAAAGCATTTCACTCTTCTATTTACAGATCTCTCTTGCAATACAATATTCCCCTAAGGCCACTAGATGTCCCCTGCATCACATTAACAGCCCTTGTTTCTCCTATTATTTAACTCCAAATTATTTTCACCAGATTAGTATACTGTTAAAGCAGAGCTGCATGGAAGACCTGGAAATTTAGGGTCATAAAAAGAGCTAAAAAAAAAAAAAACAACAAAAAAGCAATGCAATGTAAAACAAAGAATTTGTCCCCAAATAAAAATAAATAATTATAATTTTTAAAAGGGGGGAGAGGAAGCCTCAGAAATGCTCTAATCAAGCAGTTACTAAGAATCTCAGTAACTGGAGCCAATTTTGGGCATCCTAACAAATTTTTACCAGTCATATTGTTTTTACTCAGCATTATTTTCCTGCATTCCAGCTAAATCTAGTGTTTGCCTAAGATAAGGAATCTTGTACTATAAATGTCAGGATTAAGAAAAAAGGAAAAAAAAAATAGACATCCAAAAGTTAAATGTGAGATCAAGGAATTAATTCCAAAAGGACAGGAACAATTCAGTGCCAACTATTCCTATCACTCTTCCAAAAAAAGGAATGTGTTTCCTGCTATAAAAAGAAATAAGCTAAACCAGCAGCACATATTTCAGTTTCACGGCTTGAGAGCATGACTCTAACCATAGGGTTTGATAGGGATGGTCTTGTTTCATATCATATCTGGTCCCATTCCAAACTGGGGCTTCAAATTCCTGGGATATATGACCTTGTTTTCCTTTTTAGTACAGCCTTTTTATGTTCAGACATTCTGGTGATGTACAGACTAGATTTTTAGGCTGATAGAGGATTTCTGCCTGGCATTTCACTGCCTGGCATATCACTCTATGATAATAAAAAGAGAATAATGTTTTCAAAATCATGTGCAGTTAATAACGAAATAATAATGCAAACTGGATTAAATCCAATCATATGGATTCAATGAATGCTATGAGTGTCTCAGAGTTATGTATATGATAACCATGCAATGGGACCTGATGGGAGGAGTTTGGTTTGCATCAAAACTACGCTTTGTACATGTAACCACGTACTGAAGTATACCCTAAGAGCCAGCTGAATTCTGTCCTATCAGCTCTGTTTCTCCCACAAGCATTATGTTAAAGGCACATGCTTTAAAGTTATCTTGTCTTATTCCAAAATACTATTAAAATGAAAGCACAATACTGTATCTAAAAACCAAACATCCTAACTCAGAAATCCACTAAGGCAATCCCAATCACCTAGCACTTTAGTAAACCTCATGGACGATCAGGGCAGGATTAGGACTTGTACTTTAACCAGTTGAGCCCAGAGCCCACCTTTTTTCCCTCAAAGCAGCCCTCTGAAGGGGCAGCCTTGCCCACAGCTTTCACCTGAGCAGCAGGACCGCTTGTTACCTTCCCCTCCTGAACCACTGCCTGACTTCCACAGGCAAGGAGCGGGCCTTCACCTGTCTGCTCTCCTCTCGCTTGGGCACCAGTGGAGCCCCATATCCTACCACCCTCAGCCAACAGCCCAGGCAAGTGCAGAAGACAGAAGGAATTGCCAAGAGGTCACACGGATGCCAGCAGAATGAGGAATTTACTGTGGCAAAGCAGGGAGTCCCAGACTCACCGCACCACTAATGAGTAAAATGCAAAACTTCTCCAGAAGCTCTCACTGATAACATGTGTGCAAAGTGGCAGTGAGTAACAGGTAGCAAGGTGCAACCTTGTATTAGCACACAAGAAGTGCCTTACTGGATCAGGCCAAATGTTTACCTATCATCTGATTTCCCTCTCTGAATAGTAGTCAAAGGCAGCTATAAAAGGGAAAAGAAGTTCTTAAAACAGGAAAGGTATATGGCAATGCATCTCCCAATTTGTGGACAGGGGCTTCTTAATTTCAAGATGCTTTATTAAGTGTCCTGAGCTTCTCTTCAGTGAATTTGTCCCATATTGTCTTGAATTTAATCTCTTAGCTTCCAAAGGTTTCTAAAATGCTAGTACCTTGGTAGAAGATAAAGCTGAAGAAGAGTGGCCTGAAACTGGTAGAAGGCACATAAAAATTGAAAATGATGTCAAGATGAGGGGTAGCAAATGCCAATGATCTAATGAGCTAACACTTCACATGCAAAAATGACAAAATCTTGGAATATGGGGAGGGAAGGAATCATAGAATGCTTAAGGTTGGAAGAGACCTCAGAGGTCATCTAGTCCAACTCCCTGCTCACGCAGGGTCACCTAGAGCATGGGGCACAGGGCTGCATCCAGGCAAGTTTAGAAGATCTCCAGAGAAGGAGACTCCACAACCTCTCTGGGCAGCCTGTGCCAGGGCTCTGGCACCCTCACTGTTAGGAAATGTTTCCTTAAGTTCCTGTGGAACTTTTGGTGCCTCAGCTTGTGGCCATTTCCTCTAGTCCTGTCGCTGGCCACCACTGAAAAGAGGCCGCCCCCTCCTCCTCACTGCCTCCCTTGAGGTATTTATACACGCTGATCAGGTCCCCCCTCAGCCTCCTCTTCTCCAGCCTGAACAGACCCAGCTCCCTCAGCCTTTGCTCACAGGGCAGATGTTCCAGGCCCCTGGTCATCCTGGTAGCCCTGCGCTGGACTCTCTCCAGCAGCTCCACATCCCTCTTGTACTGGGGAGCCCAGAACTGGACACAGTCTCCAGATGTGGCCTCACCAGGGCTGTGTAGAGGGGAACGATCACCTCTCTCTACCTACTGGAGATGCTCTTCTTAATGCACCCCAGGATCCCGTTGGCCTTCTTGGCCACCAGGGCACACTGCTGCCTCATGGTCATCTTGTCGTCCACCACGACGCCCAGGTCCCTCTCTGTTGGGCTGCTCTCCAGTAGGTCCACCCCTAATCTGTCCTGGTGTCCGGGGTTATTCCTCCCCAAGTTCAGGACCCTGCACTTGCCCTTGTTGTACTTCATGAGATTTCTAACTGCCCAGTCCTCCAGTCTGTCCAGGTCCCTCTGGATGGCACCACAGCCCTCAGGGCTATCAGCTGCTCCTCCCAGTTTGGTATCATCAGCAAACTTGCTGAGGCAGCACTCTTGCTGAGGGGGAACTCTTCAATTTCTTTTGCACACTCATTTTGCTATGGCATGCTTCAAATGTTGATCCAGGAGCGTAATGTTGGAACACGCTAAGCAAAGAGAAGGATGCCTATGGGAAAACTGCAGCACAGTATGCATTTACACTGCGTTGCAGGAGCACCCCAGCTCTAACACATGCAACAGCTTCAAGTGCATAAGCAACCACCAATCTGAACGAGAATCATTTCTGTTAACATTTACCACATACACACATGCAATAAGAACATTTAATTAAGTAGGTTTAGATTTGAGAAGTGTCCAAGTGAGTTTAACAGATTTAAAGGTCTGCAAGTGAAGACACAAAGAGTTAAAGGATACACCCTTGGACTTGAATCTTTGTCCTTTGGCAGTTCATTATATGCCCATAACCCCCACACTTCCTCTTTGAACTGTGCAGATAAACAACTGTGTACATCTCCCTTAAAATTATATGCTCTAACATGCTTAAATTGTAGTACTCTGTCATTTGCTTTAATAAATCTTTTGCATACTTGTGCAAGACACCATGACACATGGCAAGACACAGCTATACACGCAGTTGCTCCTCATTAAAACTCACAGATTACATCTCTCAACCTAAAGCTGACCTGCTCCTGTGCCAGGCTCATCCCTGAATCTGGCTACATTTGAAGCTTCAGTATCCTAACAGGAACAAGGCAAACTGGATTTAAGCACAAAAGTGTCTGTTTTCCTTTGATAACAGGCACAGAATAATCAAGCAAAGGGGCTCAGTCTTTCCAAGGAAGCGTGACTCTGTCAAGCCGGATACCAGAGTCACATGTGTTCCAAGCAGATTGCTCCCAAAGCCTCCCTGGTGTGACAGATGCAACAGTCCTGCACTTCAGTGAAACCCAAGTGCTCAGGTAAATGCCTTCCACCACTACCAAGGAGCAGAGTTACAGAAAGTATAAATGTAACCTTAAGGCTACATTGTAGTTTTTGTTTTAGGGAACTGAAACACTAAATCTAGTTAAATTTCACTAAATCTCAAAAGGGAGAGCTCTTTACACTAGCCTCTCTTGGCAACTTGGTTTCTTTTCTCTCCTGCTATCTGTTGGATGACCTTAAGCAAAATAATTCCAGTCCTGTGCTTCAGCTCCTCCTCTTCGCCAGACTTAATCTACGTCATTCAAATAACGTAATGAGATGTTGCTCATCTCCTTTACACAGTGTTTTAAGAGGGCAACATGAAAGAAAAGCACTAAAAGTGTGAAAGTAAAACTACTTCCTGGAGAAAAGGTCTTATAAATCTGTACAAAAAAATCAGCAGGTATGTAGACAAAGATGAAGTGCACATGAACCATGCAAGATTATACATGATTCCTAACCTGCAGTGTTATTAAAAGATTATCTTCAAGCTTACAAGCCATATCTTTTAGTGCATGATTTTATTGCCCTACAATGTTAGAAACTGGAAACTACCACCATGTCATTTAATCCCCCCACACCTCTATGCAGGACAATGTCTTATCAAAATGGGATTTTTATTTGCAGGGAATCTGCTGTGGGGTTTTTTCTTTTTTCTTTTATTTTTTTTTCTTTTTTCTTTTATTTCCCTAATCTAATTGTAAGTCTCCAAGAAGGAAAGCCTTCCACAAGCTTCCCCAGAAATCTATTCCATACCTCAGTAACATGCATTTTGAATTGTCATTGAGATTCTGGCTAATAACTGTCTCCTACTCCTATTTGTGTCAGACTGATCATTTCCAAGCTTTATTTCTCCAGGCTTTACTCCTTTTCTCTCGCTCCTTGTGGGTTTATATATCCTCAAAATCTGAAAGACAGGCTCAATTATAGTTCTTTTTAGCTAACCTATGAATGTACAGGGTTTTTAAAGTTGCCCTTAAAAATTAATATAAGTTCTCCAAATCATTACCCAAACCTTCCTGGTAGCGACATGTACGTCCAAAACAAAAATATGCTGGGCATGGTTGTCTGCAGTACTCTACAGATATATTATATATATTATATATGTATATACTATATATATTATAAAAACTGGAGCATACAGGAACAACAGACACTCTCAGGCTTGTAAACGACAACTTTAGAAAAATAGTGTAAAGACCCTAAGCTGCTATTTCAGTTACTTAAGAAACTGGAGAATTCTGGAGGTAGTAGTCAATACTGGTAGAGGTGGTGCCATTTCACCAAATAGAGGAAAAACATTTTCATCTACTCTCACTTATAAACACAGTCAAGCCAATTACAAGTTAGGAAACTGAAAAGTCAAACAAAGCAAGAACTTCCCAATAAAAAACACAAACCCAGTATTTTTGAAAGTTAAAAGGCTAAGCGTCAGAACAATCAACGTAATAATAGTCTTTTCCTAGCTACAAAAACATCTTCTCTATGACAGCGCTCTGCCATGAATAGTAACTCCACAAGCCAGGCTGCAGGCTTCAACTCCCACCATTCCCACAAAAAGATCAGTACTTCTATATTGAGTGACAACATGCTGTCAAGGAATTTAACATTAATTTAATATTAACTAAGAAGATAAAGAAAGGCATAGACAGTTTCATTTTTTTTCTTAAAGGAGATAGAAGGACCAAATTTCCATGCTAGACAGGCCTTTCTTGATATTGTGCCAGGAAAGAGAGGTAATTGCTTTAATCATCTGCCCCAGAGGGTTGTAATGTAGGTGTTCATTGACCTTGATCTGCACAGGAGTTAAGTATACTATAGCTTTGGAGTTAAATATACAGCTTAGGCAAAGTTATCTTTCAAATAATAGCTTGCCATATGAGCAAAGCACCAGCTGTACCTATTTCTGCTTTCCCATGTGTCAGTTATTGACATTTAAAGCCAACAACTAGATAGTAATAGATGTGTCTATGAGCTCCTCTCCTTCTGAATCTGCTCTGTTGCTTCCATGAGGAAGAGCTGTTCCTACTTGCAATCACAGAAGCTGTTGGGGAGCAAATCCTCAGACAGAGCCCTTGCTTGCTAGCCTGGGCAGCACTGTCTCTTTGCACCATAAGTAGCACACAAGGGTGGCCCTTGAACCAAGAGCCTCCCAGGGCTTGTGGCTGCTGGGAGAGAGGTGACTCTTTGTAGTTCTGTTCTGTCCACAGTCTGCCCACAATTTCTATAGCTTCTCATTGGTAACAACAGCCACTATGACCAGGCTACAAAACAGCATGTCAAACTCAAAGTTACAGCTCAGCAAGGACTCTTGAACTATAAATACCAATTCCTGATGAAGAAGAATATTCAATAGGTAAGTATTTTTCTAAAATACATTTGCAAATGTGTGGTCAGTGTTGTATCAGGAGATGATCCAAATGTGCACTGTCCATATAGGAATCTTCCCTTTGTAAGAAAGGCCAGGATGCAGAGAAGGTGGGAACAACAAGCACAAACTCAAGCACAAGCACGGCGGGAGCAACAGCACACTCCACTCGATCCTTGTGTCTGGACAATCCAAAATCAGTACTGTAAGATGTATAACAAAGTGCAGTTGCCCTGCAAAACAGACCCACTGATTTCCACTGATAAGGACAAGAAACGTTTAGTGAAAGGAGGAGCAGACCGATGTTTTCAACAGGCTGCTAAACAGCCCAATGCTAAATAAAAAAAGACATAGATGTTTCTGGAATGAACTGTATATGACTACAGTCACCGGCACTTTGTCATCCGAAGAAAAAGAATATTCATATATGAGGGAATTCATTACCAACTTTTCTTCTTAATAGGATGAAAGAGCTTAATTTACCTCTGCTGTTTCTGCTTTTTTCTCCCCTGATTCAGAAGAAGCTTCATTTGTCTTCTTCTCGCCACGCTGCAGGTATAGAAAACAAATGTGCAATTATTAAAATCACGAATAACACCTTATAAGTAGAGAGAATCCTAAATACCTTAGTGCATGTATGATCCACTTTGCCTACTATAATTTGAGTGAACGGAACATTGTAAGTTCTCACTAAGTGACTACAGAACTTCTAGATGGTTTGACAGATAACTTGAAGTGAAACTATGCCTGAAAAGTAACGTCTTTTAGGGTAATATAATTAACACTGTTATGCATATGTGACAAGTTCTGAAAGATATTTAAACTTATCACTTAATGTTCATCAGCACAGAGTGCTCTAGCAGATAGCTGCTTCAGTCCCACAGACTGTAGCAGAAATCAAACAGGTCTCTCAGAAACCAGCCTCACTCACATGATTGTGAGCGTGCACCCCAGCAGCTGAACTGTCCTTGAAAATATCCCAGTCAAATGGCCACTCTGTCCAGCCCTCCCTACCTGGAGGCCAGCTCTTACTGTGATTTCTAGAATTATGTTTCATATGCAAAACAATCTCTGTGATAATTCCAGCACTGATGCCCATTAGGGATCCAGTTCCACTAGATTCCCCAATCCTCCCCTATCTTTCATTGTGTTCAGGTAAGTAAGCTTCTTGATTTCCTTTGACCTGAAGCGAAACCCATTTGTCCCCAGCACGCCCTCAGCAACGTATGGGGAGAGCCAGTTCATTCAGTTCATTCACACTGGCATTCAGAGCTTGCAAGCTGTGCTCTACAGATCTCTAAAAAACAAGTGGTGAATATGATCTTTTAATAAAAACCCTCCCCAAAACATGATATTCAGCCTTTATGACAAAAAAGCAAACATACAAACAAAAAAGCAATACAGATTTTATAGTGACTCTAAATGGCAGGTTAGTACAGCTGTTACCAACCATCTCTGGTACTGCTACTTTCTCTAGGTACCCAAACATGTGAGAGTGGGGATCCCCCTCTGTCTAGTTTGTTAAGGAAAGGTGAGAGATGATTTTAGACCTGTGTTTTACTACTGCTTTGTGGATTCTGCAGTGGGATGTAAAGTTAACTATCCTACTACTGCAGAGAGTTTCAACAGCATTTTTTTTTACATGGATATAGCAGAAAGCAGTGCAATGATATATGGACCATTATCTCCAACTGGAATGTGGTCAAGCAACAGACAGCCTAGGACATCAGGACAGTTGAATGCATATTGTAAAACTAAAAGAGAAAGAATTGCTGACTGATCTCTAATATGTTTTGGTACAGGACAAAAGTTTCAAAAATTCCTTTTAACAAAATGCTAATAATTCAAGTTTTTAAAATGACATTGGGCATCAATTGGATACCTAAGTTGGTAGGTTTTAATATTAAAAATACTATTCTCATATTCCAAGTTTTCCAAGTGGCCAAACAAGCCACTTAGGCCACTTTCTCGGGTAACAAGCAAGCTCATTCACAGTCCTACAAAATACAAGCATAGATAAACAAGCTTTTGATGCCTTTTACTGGCACCAAAGTAAAAGCATACCACACACACACTGGTAAAAGCAATATCAGCAAGGCATTTTGCTGACAAAGCAATTCCTGCACTAGAGCAGAGCTGGAAGTTGCAGAAACTGGAGCTCCTACCCCACAAATCCCCATAACATACATTAGGCTCCAGACCTCAATTGATATATTCTCAGCAGCACAGCACTCAAGAAGCCAAATGCTCCCCTGCTCCCAAGGGGGCAGGAGTTACCGCTATCTCTGCGGGCAGCCCCTGGTTTGTGTGCACTTGTGAAAGCTGTCTGCATGCAGTGACAGTGTGTCACTGGCCGGCCCGATGGGATGCGCATGTCCATGAAGGCCGGGGCCTGAAGGGACTGACGTGCGGAGCACGCCGCGCGGAGTCACACCGGTGCCAGGGCAGGAACCTTTGGAAATTAAATGCTTGCAGCCTCTGCTCCAGAAGCCTCAGGCAAACAGCATCTCTAATAATGACACTTCGACTTAAAATCCAAACACTGTTTAGCACTTGGAACAAAGCACATATGTCCAGATCAAGGTACTTTTTAATCCAAAGCCAGGTCCACTCAGTGTCAGGCAGCTATATAGTATTACACACAAATAGCCTCAGGGTAATATGGCAGTCTATGACTGTATTCTCTCACTTGAAAGCTTGGCATCCGGAGAAAGCAATGTACAAAAGTACAGCTTCCTCATATACCTTCTGAAGAGCTTATGCTGGATCCCTGAGCGCTTCAGCTTAAAGTAAGAGGAAAGTTCAAAATGTTCTTCAACTGCGCTTTGCTGCTCTGTACTGCCAAGCCTTGAACCTTCCAGTGAAAAGAAAAAAAGATATATATGTATGTTTAGCAATAGAATAAGCTAACTTTCTGGGGCAGTATGCAGCTCTTGCTCCTTTACAAACCCAACTGGTTGGTAGAGGTGGCTTTTCCTTTGGCCATTCTTCCCTTCTTCTGCTCATCTTTCATTACAAAGCCAAAGCAATGTATTCACGCACTAATAACATATCCATAACCAGGCCAACAGACAGGAGTGGCTCCACCTCAGTCACGAAACCACTCAGCATAAAGTTTGGATTACATTAGCAGGTTTAACTAACAACTCTTTCCTATGGTCTCTGGAGAACTACAGTATGCAAAAACATGTGACACTATCATTTTATAATGCACTATCTTTGCAATTTCTGATATAAAGAGCATTCGTAAATGTGAAAATTCATGACTAAAGTGAAAAGGAGGGAGCAAAATATTAAGAATTGAACTCCCAATTGCATTTTCATTCTGTACTCGCAGCACTTAAAATCCAGTTCAAGGTCTTGCTTCATGACAAGGCTGATCAGGTGATGGGTCGGTGGCCCATCACCATTAACAGGCCTTTGGCTTGGAGCCCCTGCACAGCATCTTGCAGGACTGCAGTGTCAACACATTCAGTGGCTGGGCAATACGGGAGGTCTACCCGCCAGATCCTCAGCTCATGTCAAATAACACAGCCCCACAGATGGTGAAGGAGGCCCTGGCCCTGGCCTTCAGCTCTCAGCTGAAATGGGGAAAGAGATCCACGAGATCTGTGATGCTTTTCTGAGAACAGTGAGATGACGGAAGGTCCTTGACGCATCTCTGGAAGAAGCACAAGGAATGCACTGGTGAAATCTAGAGCCTTTAACAGCAATCAAGTTCCACTTTAAATGCGCCACCCAGGTAAAAGCACAGGTAGAACAACTAATCCATCTCTCTCCCGTTTTCTTCTTCTTCCCTTCTCTCTCTTTCTGTTTACAGAATCACAGAATATTCAAGGTTGGAAGGGACCTCTAGAGATCATCTAGTCCAACCTTCCTGCTCAAGCAGGCACACCTACAGCATGTGGCACAGGGTGGCATCCAGGTGGGTTTTGAAGACCTCCAGAGGAGACTCCACAATCTCCCTGGGCAGCCTGTGCCAGGGCTCTGGCACCCTCACAAAGCACTTGGTTTAGCATTTGGTTTATTTTTCTTCAGATCCGACCTTCCAGCCAGCAGCTGCCCCGTGTGATGCGTACCCAGCACTGGACCAAGGAGCCAACCCATGAGGTTAGCTGAGCCTAGCGGAGGCTACCAGGTCACAATCAGGACAGGTTTCCAAACAGAGCACAGACAGGAATGGTTTCCTCAACTAAAAACACACATTAAGGCTTAGCACCTTCTCGCATCCCAGACTCAACGAGCCAGGATTACCAAGTGTTTTTCGACTTTGGGCCACGCTTGCCCAATGTTTGCAACTGTGGGGCACACAACTGATGTAACACAGTGAATGACAGACACCAAAACCCACTGAATGACAGACACCAAAACCCATTGCTAGTCATGCGCCAAGGTCACTTAGGGCAGCCTGAAAGCACGGCTAGAAATTCAAGAGATTTATCTGCCTGAGCACACACATCTAGCAAATACCTTAATATAATATCTTCTGTGAAAAATCAAATTGTAAAATGCACATTTCTGCTAAAACTTTTAGCAGAACACCAAGTTTTCTCTTTTCAGTTGTTCCACAGAAAGACAAACTACGTGAGTCACACAACCAAAGCGGAAAGCGGGCATTTTAAGCCCAATTGCAGGTTCGCTTATAGCTAACGAGCGGGAGCATAAGGCGACAGCCCAACCACCCAGTGCCACCAACGCGGGGCACCTCGCTTCAGAAACCAAAACTATTCCGGACAACGCTGCCAACTGCCTAAAGCTCAGAAAAACAAGTAAATGGGAAAAAAAAAAAAAAAAAGTGAAATAAATAAAAAGCAAGAAAAATTCCAAAGGGCTAAGGATTTTTCTGAAGCAGAAACAGCCCTGGAGATGGCTCCTGGAAACGGGGCTCACTGCGCACCCCGCCCGGTGTGGGGCACACACCGGGGCCGTGCCCGCCGGGACGCGCGCGCTGCCAACGCCGCCAACGCCGCCAACGCCGCGGTATTTACCATGGCGTACCACCACCGCGCGAACGCCATGACCGCCGCTCCGCTCGCCGCTCCGCTCGCCTTCCCGGGCCGCCCTGTTCTGCCCTGCCCAGCCCGGCCCGGCCCGACCCGACCCGGCCCAGCCCAGCCCAGCCCAGCCCGGCCCG